ACTATAAAACTTCTAGAAAAAAGCAAGAAGAAAATCTTTGTGAGCATGGGTTAGGCAAAGATTTTAGATACAAAATCAAAAAGCAAAAACCATAAAGAAAAAATTGACATATAGACAATAAAAATTAAGCATTTCTGCTTCTTCAAAGAAACTTCTTCAAAGAAAACTTTAAGAGAATGAAGAGACACTCCAAAGACTGGGAAAAAAAACTTTGCAAATCATGTGTCTGATAAATCTGTATCCAGAATATAAAGAACTTTCTTTTTCCTTTTTTGAGAGTCTCACTCTGTCACCCAGGCTGGGGTGCAGTTGCACAATCTCGGCTCACTACAAACTTCCACCTCCCAGGTTCAAGCAATTCTGCCGTCTCAGCCTCCTGAATAGCTGGATTACAGGTGTGTGCTACCACACCTGGTTATTTTTAGTAGAGACGGGGTTTCACCATGTTGGCTGGGCTGGTCTCGAACTCCTGACCTCAAGTGAGCCACCTGCCTCGGCCTTCCAAAGTGCAGAGATTACAGCCATGAGTCACTGTACCTGGCCTAAAGAACTTTCAAAACTGAATTAAGAAAGCAAAAAACTTAATTAAAAAACATGTAAAAGATTTAAACACAAACTCATCAAAGAAGTTATACAACGGCAAACAAGTACAATAAAAAGATATCTGAGGCCTGGCACAGTGGCTCACGCCCACCTGTAATCCCAACATTTTGGGAGGCCAAGGTGGGCCGATCACCTGAGTTCAGGATTTCAAGACCAGCCTGGCCAACACGGCAAAACCCCATCTCTACTAAAAGTACAAAAATTAGCCAGGCATGGTGGTACCCACCTGTAATCCCAGCTACTTGGAGGCTGAGGCAGGAGAATTGCTTGAACCCAGGAGGTGGAGGGTGAGGTGAGCTGAGATCTTGCCACTGCACACTGCACTCCAGCTTGGGAGACAGGGCAAGACTCCATCTCAAAAAAAAAAAAAAAAAGGAGATTTGGTATCAAGGAACTACTAATTATAACTAGTACACACTTAAGAGTGGCTGAGTGGCTGAAATTAAGACTGGCCATACTGATTGGTGCTGGTGGTGCATATGTGTAGGAACTGGAACTCTCATCACTGCTGGTGAGTATGTAAAATGGTGAAAAACAATTTGACCATCTCTTACAAAGCTAAATGTACAACTGCCATATGATCCGGACATTTCAATCCTAGGTATTTATCCAAGAGAAATAAAGCATAGGTCTTTCACAGCAGCTTTATTTGTAACAGCCAAGAACAACCCATATTTCCATCAACAGGTGAATGGATTTAAAAACTGTGAATAATGGCAGGTGCGATGGCTCACACCTATAATCCCAGCACTTTGGGAGGCTGAGGCAGGTGGATCATGAGGTCAGGAGTTCAAGACCAGCCTGACCAACATGGTGAAACCCTATCTCTACTAGAAATAAAAAAAAAAAAGACCGGGCGCAGTGGCTCATGCCAGTAATCCCAGCACTTTGGGAGGCTGAGGCAGGTGGATTGCCTGAGCTCAGGAGTTCAAAACCAGCCTGGACAACACAGTGAAACCCCGTCTCTACTAAAAAAAAAAAAAAAAAAAAAAAAAATTAGCCTGGCATGGTGGCGCGGCGCCTGTAATCCCAGCTACTCAAGAGGCTGAGGCAGTGGTTGCAGTGAGCCAAGATCACGCCTGGGTGACAGAGTGAGACTCCATCTCAAAAAAAACCCAGAAGAAATCAAACATAAAATGACCATACAGGATAATTCCATTTATATACTGTATAATCCCATTTATATAAAACCCTAGATAATGCAAACTAATCTAGGGTGACAGATTACTGGTTGCTCAGGAAAGGTGGGAGAGTGCAACTGGGATGGGAGAAAGATATTACAAAGGGGCATGAGAAAACTTTGGGAGGTTATACATACTTACATGTGTGTGTGTGTGTGTGTGTGTGTGTGTGTATATATATACACGCACATATTTTTTTTCTTTTTTTTTTTTTTCTGAGACGGAGTCTCACTCTGTTGCCCAGGCTGGAGTGCAGTAGCGTGATCTTGACTCACCACAACCTCCGCCTCTAGTGTTCACGCAATTCTCCTGCCTCAGCCTCCCAAGTAGCTGGGACTACAGGTGCGTGCCACTATGCCTGATTTTTAATAGAGAGGGGGTTTCACTGTGTTGGCCAGGTTGGTCTTGAATTCCTGACGTCGTGATCCGCCCACCTCAGCCTCCCAAAGTACTGGGATTACAGGCGTGAGCTACAGCACCCAGCTGATTATACATATATTATCCTGATTGTCACTATCTATATATTGGATATTTTAAATCTTTGTTATGATGGTTTCGTGAGATACACATATGTAAAAATTATTCAATTATGTACTTTAAATATGTGCAATTGACTATGTGCCAATTATACCTCAATAAAGCTGTCAGAATTATTTAACAATAAATAATATATTTTTAGCTAAATAAGCACTTATCTTTTTATTTTTACATCAAGAGGACAGAACTGTTAGCTTTAAAGTAAAACAAAACTAACATTTAGTCAATACCCACTACATGCCAAACATTATGTTAGCCAATTTACATGTGCTAATTTATAGTATCATTACCATTACTTGTAAAATGGGTGAGAGGGGGTAGGTAGAAAGGACAACAGCTTTAGAAACCAGACAAGGCTTTTTTTTCTGTTTTAAGAAAACCCTGACTTTAGTTTCTACAAATCAAGTATGTAATAATATCAATAAACATACCAGATTTAAATCTAAATCCTCAGAGTCAAGTTCTATAAATTTAACTTGGATTGTCCTACAGTGGGAACACATGCCAGGAAAAAAGTTTACAGCGGATATTTAAATTTTGATTATGTTCTCATACATATGGATGCACTGAATCCTCCTGTAAGTACCCTGAGTGAATGGCAGTTCTGTTTGGTCCCATATGAACTATGGGACCAAACAAAAATCAAAAGCCTGTGTAACTGGCAATACTCAATTACTCTGCAAACTAGTTTCCTCATTGTGTTTACCTTATTTAAAACCTGTACCTTCTTCCAAAAAAGACTGAAATTGGCTTTTCCATCTGCAAAATCGAATACCTGACTGGCAGACCTCTAAAAGACACTAGTTTTTGTCATTCTACTTTGTCTCATTCGTTTTCTTAGAAATTACATTAAGTGTATTTCAAACAAAATAACGAAAACAATAAAAGACTTGTTTTATTTTCAAACCAAGCAAGCTACGTCCTACAAAATACCTTGTATGTGTGACCTCTCTCTTAATTTATCTTTTAATTTTCCATGTCTCCCAGACGGAAAAAAACTCTATGCCAAAAAAGTATATATAAATAATTCCTTAACCATTCTATAAATAAAGTGTAACCCTTAATTTAGGAAATCTCAATACTTTATTGGAACTCAACTTCATAGCTGTGCCTAACCTACAGCTTATCCCAAGTAGGTGTCAAGCTCCATTAAGTGTTCAATTTCAAATTGCCATTACCTGTGGTCCCTCTCCTGCATTCACATATTAACTTTCTGTGTCCTATTCTCAGCTAAATCTTTATTTCAATGGCTTAATTCTCAAGTAGAATGAAAACAAAAAGATCACAATCTCCACTATATTTAGAAGCTTTATATTTTCTTGAAAACTGAGCTTTTTATAGCTCTAAACTGGATTAACTGCTTTCTTACTACTCCACTGGAATAAATACAATTTACTTGTGACAAAGATTAGCTGTCATAAATGTAGGAAGAGTAAAAAAAACAAACTAGAGACACAAATCTGGGTTCCAGTTCTGACTCAGCCTCCTAGTAGCTGGCTGACTACTTGATGTTTCCAAACTTCAGCTTTTTTGTTTGTAAAAAATGGAGAATAATAATACCTACCTATAGAGTTACTGCAAGGATTATCATAATTTACGTGAAATCACTGTAAACAGTAAAGCATCATAGAAATGGGTAATATTGGTGGTATCCTGGTGGTATGAGTAAACAGTAGACTAGAGAAACATGTACCTCAAATAAGGGACTTACTTTTTTCACTAAATAAACATCACTTTCCAAAACAAATACGCATCAGGAAGACAGCTCGAGATAAACTCTGAACTAGGATTCAGGCATCTGGATGAATGCATCTTCTTCAGCCAGGTCTACCATTAACTCTATGTATCAACACAGGCAAAACTTTCCTTTTCATCTCAAATGTCTTCATCTAAAAAATCCATTTATTGGACCAGAAGTTCCATAAGTATTATAACAACCCTTACCAGCCTACCAAATGACTAAGTATTCAAAAGAGTCGATTAACATTATATTCAAAACTTAGAGCACTGTTTGGTCTACCAGCAAAACAGAACTTAAGGGCAGACGACGGTACAAAAAAAATTTTTTTAATTAAATAAAAATAGAATTATATACAATTCTCGAGAAGCAAAGGATGAGATAAACTACCTATAATAGTTCTCCCTCTAAATGACTAGTGATGAACAAGGTGCATTAACAAAAGGGCGGGGCTCCTTCCCACAGCTTTTTGGGAACCACCCACTTCCCAAAGAGGTGTGACTGCTTCCTCCTTGTCTTCATCTGCCAAGAAACTTGAAAGATTAAGGTTTATATTGTCTGAGAAATGATTTTATTTTTCTTTTTACTTGGGTGGGGTTGGCAGTAGTCATCTGGCAAACATATCCCATAAACACCATTATCCACAATGCCAGGTCTCCCCGCAAAGTCTTAAAGATCTAAGTTTTTACAGTAATACCAATTTTAAAAAATGAATTCAGACTATTAACTCAAAATTAGATATTTCTGCGTTAACCGTAATTAGTGCTGCCAACTGCCAAGTTTTCGCTTCTCCGAATTATTCACCCTCCCGCGTCTCCGCAGAGGCTACGATTTGCCCTCTCCTGCACCGCGCCAGGTCCCGAGGGAGAGTCCGCAGGGGCTCCCAGGAAAGGGAAGGCCGGGCAACCCAGGCCTCGGCGCTGCCACCCCTTGCTCCTCACCGATGACGATGCGCAGGTGCTTGAGGCGAGTCAGTGCGTCCTTCTTGGTGTCCAGCACCTTCTGGGTGGACTTCTTCACGTCCCCGTGCGGCTTCTTGGAGAACATCCTGCCGCTGCCACTGCCACTGCCACTGCCACAGCCGGCTCCCAGCCGGGTCCCGGCGGCAGAAAGTGGAGGGAGTGGGCGGGGAGGAGACTAGCCGAAGCGCCTCATTAGCTCCTCAGCCTTGCGGGCCAGGGCAGAGCCGACTCCTCCCCGATCCAGACCAGGGCCGCCACCTCCACCAGCCTCGCGCCGCGGCTCCAAGGCACCTCCGGCCCCGGCTCCAATATGGCGGATCCCTCTCCCGGCCCTGCACGGAGCGAGATAGACCCGGGCGGGCCGCCTGCAGCCGCCGCTCGTCTCCAGCGGCCGCCGCTCGCCGCCACAGGCCGGGGCCCCGGACCCAGAGCCACGGAGGTGGAGCTCTCGGCGGCAGCAGCACAACTCTCTCCCTGAGGCCCCCTTAAGGTTGAAGCTGCTTTAGCAGCTTACACCCTGCAGAGGCCGAAACGGAGACGAGTGTGGTAGTGATGGGGTTTCACGACTCTGCCGTCGGTGGCGAACGGTGTCCGTGGCAACCGCCTTCTGACGTCAAGGGTTCTTGACGTCATGCCAGCATGAGATCACCCGTGGCACTCCCCGCCTTGGTTTCCTGTGTAAGCAGCCAAAGGAGAATCTCAAGAAAGGCAAGGAAGGTAGTTACTGCGTGCTCCATTGTAAGCAAAATGATAGTAATAAGAAAAGAGAAGTAATCTTTATTAAATATGTCCATGATTTATCTTTGAAAATGTGCATAAGTTGTTGTGGCCACCAGATCCTCTAGCAGAAAGATAAACGAAGCTACAGTTGGGCAATTTATTCTGTCCTAAATCTATTACTAATAATATTTCCTGCACTATGTATGTGATTTTTTTCATATTTTTTCTGTTTGCTATATCATATCCCTGTTTTTTGCCGCAAACGACTTGACAACAGAAAGGCTTAAGCAGAGCTATCTAGGTTTTTAAAATAAAAGTAATCTTGCTTTCCTTTTTTTATTGTGCTTTTAAAAATCTTTTCCCTATCTGCACCCCACATAAAGATGAATATGTTGTCAGTTTTTCCTCTGCAAAGAAAAATTCAAGATTCTTATTGCATTGATGGAGTCATCTGAAGAATCTGCAATAGCTGAAAAAAATCCGTGAAATTCTGAATGACATAAATTGAAATTTTTATTGGTACCTTTTTTTTTTTTTTTCTTTTTCTTTCCAGACAGGGTCTCTGTCGCCCAGGCTGAAGTGCAGTGGTGCGATCTTGGCACACTGAAGCCTCAGCCTCCCAGGCTCAGGTGATGCTCCCACCTCAGCCTACCGAGTAGCTGGGACCACAGGCGCGCGCCACCACATCCAGCTAATTTTTGTGTTTTTTGTAGAGACAGGGTTTCGCCATGTTGCCCAAACTGGTCTAAAACTCCTAGACTCTAGTGATCTGCCCGCCTCAGCCTCCCAAACTGCTGGGATTACAGGCGTGAGGCCACTGCCCCGATCAGGAAACTTTCCTCCACAAAATAATTTGATGAAGAGTGAGTTTGCTTGTTTGAAGAACTGTTTCCTTCTTTATTCTCACCCATAGCAATAGACTTGTCCAATGAAATATGCGATTAACAGAAAAGTAACAAAATCAGCAAAGAAGAGAGATGTAAGGCATTTGCCAGAATTATGTTAAAATATAGTACTTTGCTTAATGGTAGCTTGTTTCAACAACAATCCTATATTTTTTAAAGTACAAAAAATTTATTCAGTTTCTCCATGTATGGTTTGTTTGTATCATCAAACTTACAAACCATACAAGTTTTGAGGAAGCTTATAACATAATAGAAAAATAAGGGGATTGTTCAAGAGATTTTAGTTCTAGTTCCTCTCAGCACCAGTTTTCTTATTAATAAAATCAAAATAAGGTCTGTCCCTCACAGTTTCATGAAATTTAGGCTATAATACAGTGTTTTCAAGCATGATCTTTAGAATGACATAGACTTAAATTAGACATTCTGTTTTTTACTTGCAAGGATTTACTTGCTCTCGGGCCCTTGGCATGTAGTTCAGTCTCAGCCTCATTTTCCTCATTTGTAAACTACATCAGTGATTGTGATAATTAGGTGAGAAAAATATTGAAAGTTACTTCTATAATGACACATCTCATAACATTCTTTTCCTTCATAGAATTTAAGTAGAGTAATTTGTGTAACTGTTTAAAGATTCGCTCTTTCATGAGATTGTAAACTCCCTGAGGACAGAGACCATATAGATTTTGTCTAAAGTTGTATCCCAGTCTTCTTGCAAAGTGCTCTTTGCAAGATAGGCTCAATAAATATGTGTCAAATAGAAAAATGAATGTCACTTTCCCTTCCTTTCTCTTGCACAAGCACTCAGTAAATGTTTGGCAAATGAGTGACATAATTTTAGAGAATAAAAATGTAACATATCATTAATAATAATTAGATGGCTGGCATACCTGAGAAAAAATGAAAACACCATTGCAAAACAAACTAGCATAATGTGATTTAGATATGGCACACCTATCCCACTGCCTGGTTTTCTCTGCCCATTGATTTAAATATTAAAATTCTTTGAAAGTATAAGTCTTCCCCACAGCAGACATAATTATCATGGAAATAAAACCCAGAAAATTACCTTTGAAATATTACTTGTGAGGGCTGGGCGCGGTGGCTAATGCCTGTAATCCCAGCACTTTGGGAGGCCGAGGCAGGCGGATCACAAGGTCAGGAGTTCAAGACCAGCCTGACCAACATGGTGAAACCCCATCTCTACCAAAAATACAAAAAAATTAGCCTGGCATGGTGGGGTGCACCTGAATTCCAGCCACTCAGGAGGCTGAGGAAGGAGATTTGCTTGAACCCAGGAGGTAGAGGTTGCAGTGAGCCAAGATTGTACCACTGAACTCCAGCCTGGGTGACAGAGCAAGACTCTGTCTAAAAATATATATATACACACACACACACACACACACACACATATATACACAAACATATATATATACACATGTATATATACACACATATATATATAACATTCTGGACTCAAGCAGTCCTCTCACCTCAGCCTCCCATGTAGTTGAGAACACAGGCACATGCCAAAAAGTCCAGCTAATTTTAAAAAAATTTTAGTAGAGGGCTGGGTGTGGTGGCTCATGCCTGTAATCCCAGTACTTTGGGAGGCCGAGGCAGGCGGATTACCTGAGGTCAGGATTTCAAGACCAGCCTGACCAACATGGAGAAACCCCTTCTCTATTAAAATTACAAAATTAGCTGGGAGTGGTAGTGCATGCCTCTAATCCCAGCTACTCGGGAGTCTGAGGCAGGAGAATCGCTTGAACCTGTGAGGTGGAGGCGGAGGTTGCAGTGAACTGAGATCGCGCCATTGCACTCCAGCCTGGGCAACAAGAGTGAAACTCCAACACACACACACACACACACACACACACAAATTTAGTAGAGACAAGGTCTCACTATTTTTCCCAAGCTGGTCTTTAACTCCTGGCCTCAATGGATCCCCCTGCCTCAGCTTCCCAAAGTGTTGGGATTACAGATTACAGGCATGAACCACCACGCCTGACCTACACCCAAATGTTTATAACAATTTTATTCCTAACTCCAAAAACTAGAAGCAACCAAGATATCTTTCAATAGTTAAATGAATAAACAAACTGTGGTACATCCATACAATGGAATATTATTCAGCAATAAAAGGAAATGAGTTCTTGAGCCACAAAAAGACATGTATGACATTTAAATGCATATTGCTAAGTGAAATAAGCCAGTCTGAAAAGGCTACATACTGTGTGATTCTAGTTATATGACATTCTGGAAAAGGCAATATTATAGCAACAGTAAAAAGATCAGTGGTTGCAAGCGGATTGAGGCGAGGTAGAAGAAGATTGAATAGGTGAAGGATGAGATATTTTTTAGGGTGGTGAAACTATTCTATTTTTTTTTTTTTTTTCTGAGACAGAGTCTCACTCTGTCACCCAGGTTAGAGTGCAGTGGCGCAATCTCGGCTCACTGCAACCTCCGCCTCCCAGGGGCTCACCACCACACTCAGCTAATTTGTTTGACTTTTAGTAAAGATTGGGTTTCGCCATGTTGCCCAGGCTGGTCTTGAACTCCTGGGCTCAAGCAATCCACCTGCCTTGGCCTTCTAAAGTGCTGGGATTACAGGTGTGAGCCACTGTGCTCCACCCCAACCCATATACTTCAGATCATTTCTAGATTATTTCGAATACGTAATGCAATGTAAATGCTATGTAAATAGTTGCTATTCTGTTTTGTTTAGGGAATAATGACAAGAAAAAACATTTGTAGGTGTTCATTAGAGATGTAACCTTCCATTTTTTTTCTGATTCCTAGTTGGTGGAATTCACAGATGTAGCACTCATGGATATGGAGGGCCAACTGTACACATATGTTTACTAGCACATCTATATACACATACCTATAAATATTTCTGTATGTAACCATCTGTATCTGTATTAAGCTAAATGTGAATTAATACCTATGTGGTGCCTCAACTCTAATCCATTACTAGATGAATCATTCTACCCTCCTCCCTTTACTTATAAACTCCCACTCCAACAATAACATACTTGGTTCCCACCATATACCAAACATTTACTTAATTATTTAATTGCAGTGTACATGTATAACAGTATCAGAATTGTTAACCTACTTTCCCATGAGAAACAACTTTATTAACTAGAGTACAGTGCATATGTATATTTTCTTTTGCCTTTAGTCTTACAGATTCCACTCATTCCCAAATAAGTACCTTTTTCTACACCTTCTTTAGTGAGGTTGTTTCATACATTATAATACAGTTTGATTATTTTGTCACATTTTGTGTTCCAGCCAGGATCCTCTGACTCTTAAATGATTTCTTTTAATATGCATATATTAAGGTTCATTCTATATGCTATGAAATAGTTCTATGATTATTGGCAAATGCATCGGGTCATGTATCCACAATTACAGTATCACATAGAATAGTTTCTGGCTGGGCGTGGTGGCTCATGCCTGTAGTCCTAGCACTTCAGAGGCCAAGGCAGGCAAATCACTTGAGGTCAGGAGTTCGAGACCAGCCTGCCCAACATGGTGAAAACCCAGCTACTCAGGAGGCTGAGGCAGGAGAATTGCTTGAACTTGGGAGGTGGTGGAGGTTGCAGTGAGACGAGATCATGCCACTGCATCCCAGCCTGGGCGAGAGTGAGACTCCATCTCAGAAAAATATATATTTTGTATTTAAATTTTTAAAATTTCCCCTAGACTACTCAGCAGAAAAAACAAATCTATTTTTTTTCTATCACAAAAAATATTTGGTGAGAAAAGTGTTATTGCTTTTTTTTTTTTTTTTTTTGCAAATTTGCTTATAGTTTGGCTTAATTAAAGACAGCTGGATTCTTACATACGCTATTCTTTTCTGGTTGAAATATATGAAGATAATCTGGCTTCCTATGTATACGTAATTGGTAAAAAGAGTGTTTTAATATCTTTTTCAGATAACTGTTGACACTACAATAAAAGGCAACAAGTGGTAGTTTTTAAAATTTCAACTTTTATCTTAGATTCAGGGGGCACATGTGCAGGTTTGTTACATGGGTATACTGCGTGATGCTGAGGTTTGGGGTAC